TTTGGTTCGGCCGCACAAAAGCTTCGCCGACAGGCGTTTTTGCTTTTTCGTTGTTTTGATATTCTCGTCGTTTCATCCCTAATACAAGACGCATTCATTCACCGGTGCTTTGCGACAAGCCGGCGCCGGTAACCGGAGTCGATCTCAGTTCGATCGCAATTTAAATATTCAGCCGATTGGCGTACTGTGTGGTCGCGACGCGAAACCCGCCCCGGGCGACCGCCAACAGATACGAATTAAAAAAATATACATTCATTGAAAGCTAATCGACATTAAAATGTTTGTAAAACTTTTTGTAAGCCTTCCTTAATATCATGATTACTGCGGTCGGTAATAGAATGGTAAGCATGCACGATCTCATTAGAAGGCCAAGCAATTATCTTTTTATTTCATACTTTACGAAGGCCGGATGACCGTTATGTTTTCAATATTGATATGCAAAACACTTTTCAGTTAGGTTTTGAATATCAGTCGTGATAAAACGATTTATGGATTATATTTTTCTATGAAATCGAAGAAACCTAAACCTCTAAGTCGATCACTCTTTAACTAAAAGATAGAACAATTTCAAATAATTCGATCGCAATTCGAATTTTCCCTCGTAAAATTTATTGTAAAATATCAGGTATTGGGTCCCACCACCAGGTTTTACTGGTGGTAGGACCTCTTGAGAGTCCGCGCGGGTAGGTACCACCACCCTGCCTATTTTTGCCGTGGAGCAGTAGCAGAGTGCGTTTTGGTTTGGAAGAGCGGGGCAGCCGTTGTAACTATACCTGAGACATTAGAACTTATGTCTCAAGGTGGGTGGCGCATTTACGTTGTAGATGTCTATGGACTCCAGTAACCACTTAACATCAGGTGGGCTGTGAGCTCGTCCACCCATCTAAGAAATAAAAAATATAAAAAATATTGGAGGGTGAAAGTTTATATTTTCCACAGCACTCCAACGTACGATATGGCTCCGAACCCTGATAAGCAATGGATTCTTCGCGTCACCGACAAGATGAAGCCCATACATCGTCAATTTACCGACTTGCTCATGACCAAGAGGTTGCAGACATTGCAAAGTGTTGACATGGTAAGGAACACCGATTAATCAGTATAGCTATACTGATTAATCGGTGACTAAATTTATGTGCTGGCAAAGTAAAGTACGCATAAATCAAGCAAGGCTTCTTAGGTGTATTTTACTGAAAGTACCCGTTGATTTATGTAATTACTAGTAGGCTTAGTGAGATGAATAGTTTGTTTATTTTGCCAATGCAGATTTTTAATGGCGTGAAATTTCATAGTTTATATCGACGCTTGAAAGGCAAACGTAACTAAGCGACAATGCGTGAACTTTAAAGTAGACTAATTTAAAGTTGAAATACCTGAAAACAAAATTTATTTTAACGAATCTAGCTAGTAGCTGTAGGATTGAAATGATTTTAATAGACCTAGAAATATATTTTTTTTGCGCATCGAATATGGTAATTGCCTATCATTTATGTACAAATCAGTTATTGTCGCTTAGTCACGTTTGCCTTTCAAGCGTCGATATGTATATATGTACATATATCGTACATACATATTGTATAAATGAAAATCGACACTAAAATACTTTTTACGGCTGTCACAATCTTATTGGCCATATCTGAGCTTTTATTTTTGCTATATTTAGAAAATTGAAAAAAAAAAACACAAACAAACAATATTTTCGTTCGCCCTCATATAAATTTATGTACATAAATCACACAGGATGTATTTTTATTTTGTTAGGCAGTAGAACGAGTGTACCAAGAATTGAAATCACTAGGCGAACTGGATAACACTTATTTGGTGTACACTTCGGACCACGGATACCATTTGGGCCAGTTCGGGCTGGTAAAAGGCAAGAGTTTCCCGTTTGAGTTCGACATCAGAGTTCCCTTCCTAGTTCGAGGACCAGGAGTCGAGCCTGGCACGGTGTAAGTGTTTAAATTTTTTTATCGTTAAAATGAGTGGACGAGCTCACAGTTCATCCGGTGTTAACTGGTCACTGGAGCGCATAGATATAAACACTATAAATGCAGCCATCCACATTGAGACAAGAATTCCAAATCTCAGTTTTTCAATATAACGGCTGCCGCACCTTTCAAACCGAAATACGTTACTGCTTTATGGCAAAAATAGGCAGGACGGTGGTACCTACTCGTGCGGACTCACAAGACGCCTTAACACCAGTATTTTTATAAAGCTGATTTTCTATACTCGGGACAAATAATAAGTCGGTTTGTGGAATTGATATTATATTTTATTTGTAGTCCGACAATAATAATGTGAAAAATAAATTGAAAATGATAAAAAAGGCGCCAAAGTCGTGAGTGAAAAATGCACAGAAAATAAGTTTAAAAAATGATCATAAACGTCATTATGTCTTTCGCTTCGCGCTGTGTAGATCTTGAACACCGGGTAATGTTTTCTGTGTAATAAATTGAATTTGCGGTATTTCGTTTTTAAATATTTTACACATTGCTGCATTATTCAACGCTGGTTGGATACGAAGAATCTAAATTCTGTCTTCCTTGTCATTATTTACTGTCACCCAGGAATATCGATCAAAATGTTAACGCTGCCGCCCCTATCTGGAGAAACAAGGGCGAGGCTTTAAGCCGTAGATGCTAACGATACGCCACACCACCAATAGATGCTGGCATTGACATTATACTCAATGAACGCTGCATCCATTCTTCGGTGAATATCTTGGTCGCTTTTTACGAAGCCCTAGGGAAAATATGGGGCGGATTCGATACACCGTCTCTAATATTGCAATATTGATTAATACAACACAGATAATAAACATTAGCATAGATTAATAGTCATAAAAAATCTACTTATAGCTTATAGAAAGGTACGGAAGGGAAAGTTCAATTTGATGTGTTTATAAAATTTTCCAGGGTCGACGATATAGTATTGAACATAGATCTGGCACCAACTTTCCTTGATATGGGTGGAGTAGAAGCACCCGCTCACATGGATGGAAGGTCCTTACTGCCGTTACTGCAGCCGAGGAGACGTCGTCAACAGATGTCTTATTGGCCTGATACTTTCCTTGTAGAAAGGTGAGAATATGCATATGAAAATTGCAATGTTACGAACCACATTCGAACCACAATAAAATTTTGTATCTTGGCTTTGTTAAGCAAGGAATTTTATTATGTAATTTAATACCTTAGCTGTTTGTTAGTCGGTCTACTAATGCATTATAATGTACAATAATGATCCGACCTGGGTTCGATTTCCGGTATCAGAGTCTGAAATATATTTGGTATCCATGGTATTGGCGTACTTGTTCGTGTTTTGTATGTATTTCCAACATTTATAACAAAGGACTTAACAGTGCGATGTTTGAAGAAAGTGATTAACATAACTGTCTTTCTAAAAGTATTATATTTAAAATCCATTTCTTATTGAATTATATTTTTTTACTTATGTGTAGTAAGCTAAAGTCTATTAAAACACATGTAGCATGGTTTTTTCGTGAATATACTTTTTTAACCCATTTTAAATTAACAGAATTTCCTACTTTAAATAACGTTCGTTTGCAGCTCCGGACGCCGTGACATCCTGGGAATGGGCCATCGCTCTCGAGAGAACAAATACAGCTTTGAAATGAATAGGTATCCTGGGACTACATTGCAGCCTCAAGCATCTTCTGAAAGCGCAGACTTCGAGGAAGAGACTGACGATGACGACTTCTTGACCCTCGATGACGATGATGATGCGGTACTCAACGATTCTATATTACGATTTTAACAATATTTGTGAACTAAACGTTGGTATGGTAGGAGGAAGATCGCTATAGATTTATTAAAAAAAAAAACGTCAAGGAAGTAATTGCGAAAATTTGTTTTCCTCACGTTCCTCGTTCACGTTGAGTTCGATATAAAAATCGACGTCATTATTCGTATTTTCAGGAGAGCGCTGAATTTGATACTTTAGAAAAGCAGAAGTCTTCGGAGCCACTTATCACAAACGAAAGTCACAATCCAATTTTAGAGGCCACTCTGGAAAAAGCTCTCGACGCTGGAGATATCCTAAATACTCAGCCATACATGATGATGTCGTCCAAAGATTTTTTGCGTGAGTATCAAATGATGCAATTCGTTTCTATTTCTAACAAAAACACGCACACAAATTTCCACAAGATGATCGTAAACCCTTTAATATTAGATGTTTGACTGTATTTTAACCGTTATTTCAGAATCCAGCAATGCAACTATATTTGACGCTAAAACAACACGGTTAGCAGTTGATTGCTCGAAAGCTGAACTCCGTGCCCCTTGCGCCGCCGGCAGAAAATGGAAATGCGTTCTAGTCAATGGCAGATGGCGTAAACACAAATGCAGATATGACGTATGTATTTTCACATCATAAAAGTTTTGTTTTTTGTTGAAGTTATACTTCTTTAAGCGCGTTATAAAAAATTGATGAGAGTGAAATTTTACGATGCGCGCGCACCGTGACACAAAATTAACAGAATTAAGTTGCCCACTAAATCGCTCATTACAATACGACCGACGTAACTTGGCGAGTCTGAATATAGCCGCAGGTGAACTTTCGCGCATGTACACTCGTAAAAAAAGTGTTATTAGCATTCATTTTTTAGTAATATAAATGACAAAATTATTATTTAATATAAGTCATACTAAATATTATTAAATTATTAACGTTAAATATTTATTATTAATTATTTAATATTTAAAAAAAAGTATAACTTCTTACGCGCGTACATAAGTACACGCACCCTTTTTTTTATTGCCCTTGTAGGCAGACGAGCATATGGCCCACTTGATGGTGAGTGGTTACCGTCGCCCATGGACTTCAGCAATGCCAGGGGCAGAGCCAAGCCGCTGCCTACGTAATTTTATAGTACAGAACTAGTATTGATGTTTAACAATCAATTTCAGAATGAATACACTATTCCGCAGCCGAAGATGAGTACAAAGAAATGTGCTTGTTTCACGCCTAGTGGGCTCGTTTATACCAGACTAGAAACTGATGGCAATATTGCAAGACGACCTAGTGATGTAACCAAGGAGAGTAATATAACAAGATCACGCAGATCCATCAGTAACGATGTTTTCGAACCGAATACTGTTGAAACTATTCTCAAAGAGAATCCAAGCATTGGACATTTAAGTTTCAAAACTGAACCAATCAATGAATTAGAAAACAAAAATATGCAAGATAAAATTGATAAATTAATTAAAGAAACGCAAGCTTTTATAGAAGCTTACGAAAAAACCAAAGACAATTTAGATCATAAAAGGGTCAAACGACGAGCACGACAATGGAACCAACATAACGGAAAAAAGCATAAGAACGATGCACTGCTTAACACAAATGAATCGTCACTTGAATGTAAAATAGAAAAAGACGGAAGGGTTAACTGTTCGCAAATTATCTATAATGATTTGAAAGCTTGGCAAACGAATAGATTAAGTTTAGAAGACCAAATAAGGCAGTTGCGTACCAAGCTTGAGGATTTAAAAGAGATCAAACGACACTTAAAAATTACTAAGCCAATAACTGAAATACACACTTTGAATACGCCTGAAGTAAGTAGTCATATACACAATAAGACAGCTATCTATGAACACACTTCTAAGGAACACCTGAAAAAAACCAGAATGCACAAACTGAAAACAAAACAGAAAAACAATACATTAATCGATAAAAAAATGAGACAGTCGAACGAATATGTTTTCCCTACAGTACACGCCAAAGCTAAAGACGTCTTTGATATTCAATTACAAAATGAATCTAAACTTGACGAATCCACTCATACATATATGAATATAGGTGAAGGTGTGCCTCTAAATGAGAACTTGACAAGTATTTATGACACGGAGCTGCCAAAACCTCAGGTTACTACGATAATTATCGACGGAAATTACCAACAGCCTAATAATTTAGACAAAGTTGGTACAGTATCACTTGGTATTGTACCTACTACGGAAATCGTAACTACGACTGCTTCTTCAAAAAATTTCGATACAACGAGCAACAAAAAGGTTTCTGAAGAATACACAACAGAAAAGGATACAACGTACTTTACTCAAACGGTGAATTATTACAGTTCAAGTATCGATAAAATATTGAGGTCTACAGAGGCTTTACACACTGTAACAACAACAACTGCCAAACCAATGGAAAACGCGACCCACACTGCTTTAAATTTAGGGCCAACGAGATTCGACGTATCAGAATACGAACAAAGAAACATGAATAAAGGAACTTCTAAAAGCATTGACATTTTGGAAAAGCCGCCCGATGTCTTTCAAAGAAGGTTGCATCCACTCTTCATTGAAAATGAGGACAAACACGTATGTTATTGTGAGGAAAATAGGTGAGTATTAATTATTAAAAAAAAATTTAAAATTTATTAAGTATCAAGTATTAAAAATTATTAAAAAAATTATTCAATTTATAGGTTTTAGTATATATAGGTTTTAGTTATATTATTTTTGTTTTTGTTTCCTTATATTTAACATTCTACTACAGGAAATTAAAAGGACCTGGTCAGAGCTATATGGAGGCAGCCCAGAGAGCCAGAGAAGAACAAAGAAAACGTAAAGCCCAGTTGCTTCAAAAGAAACTGCGGAAAGCCAAAAAAAGGGTAAATTCCCTAAACTCATAGTAATTTAGACCTTTCCATCCTAACCATTATTATTATTACTTTTCTTTACTTTTTTTCTCAGCAGACGCTGGTACGTATTTATTATTTACGAGCCTTAGCGAAATAAATAATAAGGAATAAAAATATTTAATGTCCGTTAGTTGAGATTTCTTCATTTTCCAAAAACTTATTATTATTAAATTTATTATTATTATTATTATTTATATTTTAGGCAGAATTGGAAAAACTATGTGAATCTGAGAGAATGAATTGTTACCGTCACGACAATGACCATTGGCGCACGGCGCCGCTCTGGACCGCGGGACCATTTTGCTTCTGCATGAGCACTTCTAACAACACGTACAATTGCGTTAGGACTATTAACGCCACACATAATTTGTTGTACTGCGAATTCATAACTGGACTCGTTACTTACTACAATCTAAGAATAGGTATGTTCTTTTTTTATTTTAAGTTAGTGAAACCCGGTCACGATGCATTGTGAGTAACGCTAAATGTATAGGTAATATACCTACATACATGAATTTGTTGAATCTAAGACTAAGAAGCATGTTTGCAATTATAATATTAGTAAATAGTACTTTGTCTATAATCTTGACGCAAATGCAAGGAAGCAAATTAATAAAGTTTGTTTGCAATTGAATGAATGGTACAACAGCATATAGCATACGAAGAAAAAACGATAATAATTTTGATTTTTATAAATTCAATTTTAAAAGAGGTAATAATTATTAACTTTCTAAATCAATGACAACTTTAAATTTGTTTCTAGATCCATTCGAAACTCAAAACAGGGTTAAACATTTGACGGCTTCCGAAAGGGAATATTTCCACAATCAGCTGCAACAACTTCTTAGCTGTCGTGGGCCTTCATGTCGAAGATTTTCGCATTCGAATACTCACGGTAAGTTCAAAAACAAATATTAAATATATATTTTTGTCTACACCATTAGGTACTTTGTAATGATATTTTTTTCATGTTTAGGAAGCCACGAAGAATCCGTAAAAGGTTTCGAAAACAACTACCTTCACAGAGGCGAGCCCATCGGATATAGCGAAAGGTATTTTGATAGTAGAAATAGAGTCTTCAAAACAATAAAGTAAAGGTCCTTCATCTGAAATTTGTTGGTTGAGCACATAAGCAAACTGCATAAGCAAACATTGAAATATTTAGGTGAAATTTTCTATAAAAAACAAATAGTACCTATTGAAGTTGCATTTCATTACAATAACAGCTAATCTATTTATGTCGGTAAACCAATAATACATGATACACACAATACCACCCTATAATATAGTGTATAGAAAGTACGAAGTTACATTCAAGTACACTTACTCCGGAAATAATCATGAAGCCAAAGCGATTTTTAACAATCATTAAGTAAGACGATATGAAGACTATCAGTTCACTTATTTCTTCCGTTTTGATTGGCATATTTATAATTTCCCACTGCAAGTCAGGAACTTTATGGGAGCGTCATTCCATTTAATTGAAAACTAGGTAGATCGTCACTAAAAACGTCACGTAGACTTAGATGAGATCGTTAATAAACCCACATTTCTAAAATCTGGGTTTTTACTAGCAGTCTTATTTATTTCCTTCCTCCTCCTCCCCTTATTCAGTCTGACGCCAAGGCGAGGGAGCTCAATAGCATACAAGTATATTATGAAAATGTATTAAAAATGTTTTTGTATTATATTCAGATCATGGCGTTGGAACAGTTACAGTCGACGGTACGCTAGAGCTCGTGAATTGCATCGACGAAGACACATGATGTCCTATTAAGCTGTACGGAAAATATGAAAGGACAATTTACAAGAGCTGCTAATTTTCTGCAAAGAACACTTCGGTGACATGGTCGAGTTGACGATATACGAAGTGCTGACTGCGTATTACTGATTTAAAGAATCCGTAGAGTTGAGAAAACATTGAGAACTATTTATTAGTGTTCTCAAAATTTCATCGTAAACATAGATTTTGCTAATCGTGACTCTGAATGTGACTAGAATTTTAATAGTAATCGTGTATTTATAAGCATGCATCGAATATAGTAGGGCTTCCTGTAATGGGCATACCGAATGTAATGGTAGCCAAAATGGTATATTTCTGTTTTTTTTGAGTTTGAAATTAATGTATTAAAACTGCCTTTCATGCCTATTGTCAGTTTTTAGAAATAGAGCGATTAATTATCTAAGAATAATCAAACAGTAGTGTCACATGATATTTAGCTTTAAATCATGTTCTGATTATAATATAATCCTTTACAATTTTCAAAGTTACTTGATGTTTTTTGTAGGGTTTATGCCGTATTTATTATTAGTATTTCCAGTAGTTTATTAGCTATCTTTCAGATTTATCGAAGTGATATGAAACAGTTGCTATTGTGATGATTAAATGTGTGTATCAATTTATTGTAATATGAAAAATGAGTTCTACTCTAGTGTTTTATTTGCCTCTTTTTCTATTTAATTACTATCTGACCCGGCAGACTTCGTAGTGCCTTAATCGAGAAATAAAAGACGTAAGCTTTTGTATAAAATAAACTTTAAACAAACAAAAAGAATCCGTCCGACGGGGGACACATCAAAGGAAAAACAAAATTGTTATTTTTATTTAATTCCGAACATTTTCATATTTGTCTAACCTTTGAAACCTTCTCTGGACCTCCACAAATAATTCAAGACCAAAATTAGCCAAATCGGTCTAGCCGTTCTCGAGTTTTAGCGAGACTAACGAACAGAAATTCATTTTTATAACAGATTTTTTTAAATTTAACCAACAAGACAATTAAAAAAATTAAAATTCAACGGATAGGGAGACGAAAACTCGTATGACGCGTGTCGGCGACAAAGATGCTAAGCGTACTGACGCGACAGGGCGATCGCGGGAAGGTGAGCGGGGAAGCGGGCGGAGCACCGCATTCCAGCCACGGAATAGATAAATAAGGTTGGAATGGTAATGTAGGCGGGGCAAGCGTGCCACAGTTATGATTCTACAATCATAACTCGACCGATTCTTTCATTCCCGCGTTTAGTGCACTTCGGACTACTTGGGCGAACAGATCTCCGCTTTATAATGCCGTGTTGTGCAATTATAACTTGTTAAACAAAAAGTCAGACCTCAAGTATAGAGCGAGGAGGTATATCTTTCGATCGGTAAGTCGAAATTACCATTTAATTACAATATTATTTGTCTAAAACATAAAAATATACTGAGCATTATGAAATTCCAAACATTAACAATATTATTGCAACAAGTTATAAATAACATACATTGCGCGATGTGTACTCGCCCAATGAATGCATTGACCAAGTCCGCTTCCAATATACTACATGCATTGCGTTCTCTACACTTCAATCTTTGAAATTTCGGCCTTTGCTCTGATTGGCCGTGGTGCATGGCGCTAGTTTGTCGATAGTGAGGTGACCATGTGCTGAAATAAAATCGACAGAATTCTCGACTATGTTTACATTTGATATGGATAATTTTTCTATTATTTTATATTTAATTAATGATACCTAGTAAATTCTTAGTGAGACGTATTTTGAGTAAAATAAATATGTATTATTATTATTGAATTATTATCATTGAATTTATGTGAAGGTATAATATAAAGGAACATGTAGACCGCTCATTTACGGGTATTTACTATATTGTCTAAGACGTATTAAAATCTAAGTAAAATGCTATTTGACTTATGCAATAAAGTATAAATTTTAGGTTTCCTAAAGATCCTAATGCCAGGGAACAATGGATTGACGTGACAGGTAGAGGAAACTGGAGACAAAGACGAGTACTATTTGCTCTAAACATTTTACTGTAAATGATTTTACCATAAAAAAATCAGAATACACTTAGTTTTTTTTATATTGCTTATATGGGTGGACGAGCTCACAGCCCACCTGGTGTTAAGTGGTTACTGGAGTCCATAGACATCTACAACGTAAACGCGCTACCCACCTCGAGATATAAGTTCTAAGCTCTCAGTATAGTTACAACGGCTACCCCACCCTTCGAACCGAAACGCATTGCTGCTTCACGGCGGAAATAGGCGGGGTGGTGGTACCTACCCGTGCGGACTCCCAAGAGGTCCTACCACCAGTGATTACGCAAATTATAATTTTGCGGGTTTGATTTTTATTACACGATGTTATTCCTTCACCATGGAAGTCAATCGTGAACATTTGTCGAGTACGTATTTCATTAGAAAAATTGGTACCCGCCTGCGGGATTCGAACACCGGTGCATCGCTACACACGAATGCACCGGACGTCTTACCCTTTAGGCCACGACGACTTCAAACGACTTCGACTTAGTTTTGTAAAATTCATTCGCAATTAATAGCAAACGCCAAGTGCTTAACAAATACATTTTATTCCAAGGACTATTTGTAATTAATAAAAGTAAAATAGTTTTTTTTTCATATTTATTTTATGAATGAGTATATCAGAGGAAGTGTGAAAGTGGCCCCGGTAAACAACAAATTAAGGAGCGGGCGGTTAGCGTGGTATGGACATGTGATGCGTAGAGAGAAGATGCATGTGACTAGGAGATGTATGGAAATGGTTGTGCAAGGTAGAGGGGGAAGAGGTCGACCGAAGAAGACATGGATGGAGTGTGTGAATGACGATATGAGAAAGAGAGAGAGAGGAGTGAGTGTTGAGATGACGGCTGATAGAAGAGAATGGAAGAGAAAAATTAGCTGTGCCGACCCCACCTAGTGGGATAAGGCGGAGAAAAAGAAGATATTTATTTCATGTTTCATTTTTCCCCATTCATTCATCAGATAATTTATCGATAAAGAATATCGGTTTTATCAAGCACTAGCGTGTATGAACATTTTTACTGCCTTTTTGCGTGTGTGAGTGTGTATGCCTACGGGAGTTTTGTGCTAGTTTGCGAACGAATATCTGTCCTGAGATTTATGTGTGGGTGTTTTTGTTGTGTGCGAAATACTTGTAATCATAGTATGTGTATGTGTAGAAATTAAAATACTTAGTGGGGATGAAGCGGCGACACTGGTCCTAATACAAAATTAGAGCAAAGGCTTTTCCAACCTTATCTACATATTCCATGATTCCAGCGAGGTGCAAACTTAGCTTGGTCGAGTAAGGTATGAATTTTCACAATACTGGCATTTTTTAATTGTAATTTATGTATTAAATTGGCAGTAAATTTTTGGCTCAAATGAATTTTATTTCAAAAATATGAAAATCTATTTTCTAATTCAGCAATTTCTATTTATTTATTGATTAGTGTTTTTTGTTTGCACTAATTTGTAATCTTTTTAATTATGTTGCCTAAAAAAATACGAGTAATTAATGAATAAATAGTTCCGTAATGCCGCACTAACAGCTCACATCATTAATTAATGATGTGGAGTGAACACTACAAACGAACACACGATTCGTTATTAGTTTGAAAGGTTCCAACATGGATATTGTAATCTAAAAAATGAACCACGTGGTCGCCCGGAAACTACGATAGTGGAGGCTGACGATTTGCCTATGAGTGAACACCAGCTTTTAACATTAGCATTAAAACAATCTTTGTTTATATGCATCAAAATGCCAAGGTAAAAAAAAAGATAAGAGAGTGCCGCACGAAATGAATGATCGCTAGCGCGACGAACGCCTAAGGTATGTCTTGCGTTCAGTCTCCTCCCGGTGATAGTCACGGGTCAACCTGAGAGGGTCGAGGCTGCGCCGCACGCTACTGTCACTCTAGCGTGCTGGCACCAGAAGAATGTGACAACGCGGTCCGCATTGCCGTCGTCGCTGTCGTCGCCGAACATATTGTGGAAGAGCAACCCGGTCGGCGGTGTATCGCGTTCTGACCCGGCAGGCTGGTCAGCGGAGTATCCCGGAACACCAGCGGCATCACCCGGGCGGCCTGGTAGGGCCGCCGTACCGCGGAGACCGGTGTCATTGGTCATCGACTATCCGTCGGTCGGGCGTTCTAAGGGTGGCGCCACGATAGTTGATGACCACGGGAACCCCCTTACTCTGACCGGGTTCTGACCCCGGACGGAGATCTGGCGTTGGGTATAAGAGTGCAGGGGAGTCGTTTAGTGCGGAAGGGCCCTAAAAATAGCCTTGGGTCCATGGTCTGCTCCCAACATCTGCAGATCGTCAAGATCCACATAAGACTTCGTAGGAGTTTAAACTCCCAGCCCGAAAAAAAACCTTGAATTGCCAGACATACAAGCGAAAGAATTTTGTATGGTATTTGCACTGGCAAATAAAAATTCTTCTTGATAACAGTAACTAGTCATCCTGTTAGTTAGACCCTAGTTCAACACCTAAGCAATTTCCCAAACGAAAATTACCCCTAAAAATGTCAAGGCCACCGATTGGTGGTCAATTGTTTTAATTCATCACAGCACACACTTAATCTTATATGTATAGGCCTAGGCAAACACACTATGAAGTTTAGTGGCTTAAGATTAAGTGAGCTGTAGAGAACTCTCTACTTTGCCTTGCCTTTAAATTGAATAAGACTGTGATATAATTAAGTATTTGCCTTAGTAATTCTGCTTAGTATTTCATAATTCTGCCTAGTACTTATACTAGGCAGATTTATGGACATACTGTTTAATTAGGTCTTAAGTCTTTAATTATAACTAATTTTAAACATAACATTCTCATGAATACAATTCAAATATCAAGTATGGTATCTAAATCAGACTCTTCGGTTATTGAAAATTCCATTGTTTTTCTTTGGTTTAAAGTATGCTTTGAGTCTTCTATTTTAAAGAGATTTTCATTATTTTCAATGAATTGTTTCCATTTTGATTCTTTAACTTGACTTTTAGCATTATTCAGCTTATTTCTTTTTACAATCTCTAAAGAATTACAGAATTTCTTGCATTGGCTTATTTTCAGATTTGTGTCTTTTAATATGCAACTGTCATTGAAAAGCTCATTTCCTTGACATTCCAGTTCATTATCACTATTTATTCTTTCTGCAGAGTCTTCAGTAGGAGTAATGTTTTTTTTATTTATTGTATCTAAAGGATCATTAAAGTTTGGGTTTCCATCTCTAGGGTCGCAAAATTCATTATCTAGATTAATTGTAATCTGTTCTTTGTTTTTATTTTTATAGTGATTCTTCGTCTTTTTACGCTTATTAGGTAATTCTGAAATAACTTCTTGGTTATCAGGATAGTTATTATCATCTATTCCTTCATAAATATTTTCAATTTCATTATTTATAGTAAAATCTGTCCATTTACTCTTCTTTTCAATGTTTTTATTTGAAACTTCTGTTATTTCAGTCTCAGTATTTTCATCTATACTTTCATTTGGCGATGTAGAATCGTAGAGTTCATCAATCACACCTCGAATCCCATTCAATTTCTGAACATGTATGCGGCAGTCCTTGCTAGTGCCAAGACCATAATGCCTTTTAATAGACTGCTTCTCACCACAAAGTTTACATTTCCATTTATTTGACTTTTTACCTTGATGAACCTGAAAATTGTAACAGTTCATCAAATCTTATTTTGAACCTTAAAAGTGCAGACACGTTATAATAATTCGAGAGTCAATCATATAGTAGTCACTAACTAACTGTCATAACTTCTGGTCTCGGGGGTGTGGTAGCTATCATAGAATAGAAGACCTAAATTACGATAGCATTTACTGGGTGAGCTAGCTTAAGCAAGTTCCGAACAACAACCTTTTGCCATAAAAACTAATCATTTTTCTAATAAAATATGGTTATGCCATTATTTGAAAACAAATAAATTAAATAATGTGATACGGCACTAATCTTATACGTAATTGCTTATACTTACTTGAAACACCGAACACTTATAGCATCGTAAAACTTGAAACAATTGTGGCATTATTTCGTAGCAGAATAAATTATTGGATGTTATTCTACAAATACGCTGACTTCGTGTGTTCGATTCCTGATTAATAAGTAGTTAAATTTGTTACTATAAAATTGTAGGGAGTGAAAAATTATATGGATGAAATGAGGTGAAGTTTATTTATTTGAGGCTGCAATCAATCGGGATGAAATTAAATGAAAAGAAACGGGTGGAATGAGGTGAAGAAATATCGTCTCAGTAAAATGAAATTTACTGCGACTTTTTCAGTGAACTTTTTGGAAGATCCCGAGAAGTTACGTCCAGCGGGGTTGTTTTATTTTCTCATATTTAATTTTGTGCTCTTTCACAAATACTAAACTGTTAATAAACCACTGTTATTACATATTTAAACCTGATGAAATACTAAATTCTTATCTATTATGTGTATTACTTATAATCACTAAATTAACAGAATAAAACAATTTACACAATTTTGCACCTCGCGCTCCAGTCAAAAAGCTTAAAATTAAATGTAATTATAAACGTATAAACGTTCAATAATTAGTTAGGCAAAGGGAACATTACTCAATGTTTTGCAGAAAAGCCGAAGTCATATCTGTTGGATGATTTGAAACCAAAAATCTCAGTGAAATGTCGAAAACATAGGTACCTACTGAAAGTTCAACTAAGTAGTCACAATGCTTTTTGTTGAATTATTTTGCTTGATCTTGTGAAACGGGGGAGATTTCCTTATCCAAATGAAATTCATGAAGAGTATGAAAAGAGAGCTTAGTGGTAAAATTAGTATAAATGCAAAGCAGAAATGCTCATTGGCAAGTCATTAGCTTTCTTTTTATTTAAATGGGAATGGAAAACTTTTTTTGTAGAAAATTCTTAAATAATTTGAAGGATGGCGTTATGGCAATCTTTAATAAAAATTTAACCTCAATTCCGCTTGGCTTATTACACTTTACTCATAGCCATTATGTTTATATTATAATTAAAACCAGCTTAGCTGCTGCAATACCATCCTTAATGATAATCTATGTCGAATAATAATTTAAATGTAATTCGGGACTTTTTGGCGGGAACGCGAGGAGTGAAGTTGTGTGATTTGTTTTATTTTGTCTATTTAGTGTTTCTTCAGGTTTAAATGTGTAAAAACGGTGGTTTATTAACTGTTTAATACCTGTGAAAGTGCACAAATGTGCGAAAATGAAACAAAGCCGCTGAACGTAACTTCTCGAGATCCTCCAAAAAGTCCACTGAAAAGATCTTAGTAAATGACCACCATTTTACTCAGATTATATTTCATCTCATCTCATTTCATTTAATTTCATCCCAGTTGATTAATGTCTCAAATTAGTCATCTTCATTTCATTTCACTCCATATCATTTTTCATAAAAATAAGAATATAAATTAAAATAAGACATGACTTAAAGGTCTTAGTTACCAGGTCATAAAAGCCCTTAAAAAAAATGTAATTCGGACTTTTGGCGGGAACGCGATATGGAAGGTAGAGGTATGTAAGGAGAACTGTCTCATTTAAGAGAGAAGCTTGTAAAAGTGTCCCACATAGATTATACACTTAATATATGTGTCCCACTTTCAGCACTAAATAACAGTTCAAAAATCCTCCAGAATGGGGCTAGCATAGGCATAGGGTATATGAATTGAGCAGTTTTTAACTGATTGAAGTATGCTGAGTTAGGAAATTTACTATATTTAATGACTAGAGTAGTTAGTGACAGTGTAATATACAAGACCTCACATAATTTCGTCAATATAACCTAAAATTTGCTGTGGTAAAACGTAGAGACATCGATTGCATTTTCTTGTCAGCTTTATATAAAATACTTTTTGTAATTTTGTAGTCCTTACAGTTCTTTTGCCCTTTTTTATTTCTCTATCTTATTCTAATAACTAATTTCAGCGCCGTTTTTAATATTTACCCGGTTGCTACTGTAGCGGCACCCTTATTTAGCAGATTTTAACGGACACTTCTTTAAACAGAGAGACAGACGGTTCTCTTTACCTCTGCCCTGCATAGAACGCGAGGAGTGAAGTTGTGTGATTTGTTTTATTTTGTCTATTTAGTGCTTCTGCAGATTTAAATGTGTAATAACGGTGGTTTATTAACTGTTTATTATCTGTGAAAGTGCACAAGTGTGGGAAAACGAATCAAAGACGCTCGACGTAACTTCTCGGGATCCTCCAAAAAGTCCACTGAAAAATTCTCAGTAAATGACCACTTGAAATTATACTTCATCCTATATCATCTCATCTAATTTCATTTAATTTCATCCCTGTTGATTAATGTCTCAAATTAATCATCTTCATTTTATTTCATTTCATTTCACTCCATAATATCATCTTCATATCTATATATAAAAATGAATTGCTGTTCGTTAGTCTCGCTAAAACTCGAGAATGGCTGGACTTTGGCTTATTTAGGTTTTGAATTATTTGTCGAAGTCCAGAGAAGGTTTAAAAGGTGAGTAAATATGAAAATGCTCGGAATTATATAAAAACAAACAATTTTGTTTTTTCTTTGATGTGTCCCCCGTACTTCGATCAACAATAGTAACTACATATATAAGTATATACTAGTTACAAATACAAACAGATACAAAACTTGATGTCTTTTATTTATCGACTGAGGCACTATGAAGTTAGCCGGGTCAGCTAGTTTTTCATAAAAATAAGAATATAAATTAAAATGAGACATGACCTAATAAAGGTCTTAGTTACCAGATCGTAAAATCCCTAAAAAAAAATGTAATTTTGTGTGAAGTGTGTTGTTTTTTTTTTTTACTGCTTAGATATGTGGACGAGCTCACAGCCCACCTGGTGTTAAGTGGTTACTGGAGCCCATAGATATCTACAACGCAAATGCGCCACACACCTTAAGATACAGTTCTAAGGTCTCAGTATAGTCACAACGGCTGCCCCACCCTTCAAGCCGAAACACATTACTGCTTCACGGCAGAAATAGGCGGGGCGGTGGTACCTACCCGTGCGGACTCACAAGAGATCCTACCACCAGTAAAAATGTATCAATATAACGCTAACTACCTTAAAGTGCTTTCACGTTACTAGGTTTCTTGATCTCTCTTTAAGGCTAGCTTTAGAAAAGACAAAAAACATGATATTATTATTTTAATCGTAGATATCATTGTGGGCTCAGTGAATTTGTCCACCCTTTTTTTGATTTTCGGATTTTTTTATTTTTAATTATTTGTTCGTCGTTTGTTCGTTAATGTTCGAATTGGTTTGGTTTGGAAAAATTATTTGTTCGTCTTTTATTTATTTATAATTAATTAAGCAAATGATCACCCTTAAGTGGGCCCCTCTTACTAGATATCTTTATTTTTATCGCTCAGATTAATTAATTTTGATCAACTATCGTTTGTTCGACGACTATTGGTGATTGTTCGATCATAAAAAAATTAAATTCCTAATTATTAATTATTTTATATCTAATACTAATATTATAAAGAGGAAAGATTTGTTTGTTTGTTTGTATTGAATAGGCTCCGAAACTACTGAACCGATCTGAAAAAATCTTTCACTGTTTGGAAGCTACACTATGCCTGAGTGACATAGGCTACAACATTTAAAAAAAAAAATTAGGGATCCTTACTAAATCGCGTGCCCTGCGAAAACTATTAATGATAAAATTTAAGTGTGGTATTCCGGTGCACGTTCAATTTTATAGATTATATACACTTAATATTTGAGTTGTTTGTTCAATTTTTTCTGGACTTAGAACCACAAAATACGCACGAACTGAATGAAAAATTGTATAGTTTTTTGAAACTGTAAAATATTGTTAAGAAATCTAATTGTAAATTGTATATTATGTTGTATGTGTACCTATACATAAATAGTGGAAAAGTAATTCTCCTCTTTAAATGTGGAAACGGTCATATTATATTATTTGCAATGAAACTACAACTTCTATGGTTTCTGGACTAGTTTAAAGTAATTTATAAGAATTTTCTACAGACATTGAAAAGACAAAATCTTACTTTCTTAAGTCTATTATTAAAACTATTGAATTACGTTTTAAATATAGAAGACTTAGTAAAACGATGTCAAAAAATACATAGACTAAAAGAAAATTAGCGCATGAAAAAACAATTCAACGATAATTAGGCAAAACTATTTGGACAATCTACATTCAGTATTCATCAACATGTATTTTAGTAAAAAAATTAAAATTATTTTATTAACGTATCATTGTTATAACCTAAAAATAAATAAAATACTTTTAAAATATGTACATGTTCTGTAGAAATATTATTACAATTTTTTTTTAAACAACACCTATTAGGTAATGGTGTAAATATAAAACTTAAAATACTTATGTAATACTTTGTGGTGGACAATATTTTTGGCACCATATTTCGAATACAAATTTGGCAATTTTTTGGTATTATTTGGCACAATATCTGATAAAACATAGTACCTATCTAAACATACACGTTCACGTGAATTTAAATAAAATCTCGTATCCTATACTTAAACTGAATTTAAACAACATTAGTCTTTGGTTTTACAACATTAGTTTGTAAGCTAAACGACGATATGTACAAAAATGTTAATACAAAATTTATGTTCTCAATGATAAATGTTGGAAAATGAATGTAACGGGATCGCAGTTTTCAAAAAAAAAAATATTTTGAGTACCTAAAATATTGATAAAATAATGACAAAAGTATGAAATTTATGAAATATTCATCAAAAAAGCAAGAATTAACGTTACAAATGTTGGTTAATACTGATTTAGTTTTGATCGAAATTCGATTTTTTATGTCGATAATTTCCACAATTTTTTTTATGTATAGCAGTAACTATTCGCATTTTTAGTCCAAGATGTACCAAATTTGAAACAACTCTTAATTTATTGGAAGAACTTTTTAAGTCACCATGTATCATTTTTTTTACTACTATTATATATAATTATTATGATTATCCAATAATTCTGTTAAAATCATTACAAAAATTCGCCACGACAGCAAATCGGACGAAGTGGACAGATAAAAAATCTGTATGGCGAATACTGCGCGACCAATTGTTTTCGAAACATCACAATATTTTTATACACAAGCTACCTAGTAAATGTAGCTTTATGGTGATTAAATAACGGTTTATTCGTTCTCTTCTCGTAGTACATTCTTAAAATGTACTTACCTACTTCGATTTCGATTTATTTATGCCAGTGATTCTGAACCTTTTTTTTGTTGCGGCACATATTTAACGATTTCAAAATTTGGCGGCACACAAAGAAAAAGATAAAAATTATTTACTTACTACCGAATCACATACAGTGCAGTAACTACTATGCAACACCTTTTGAATCCCAACTATCACTAAAACAACACGTTTTGTACGCAGAAGTGGCAAGTGTGTGCCGACTTGAGATATATTCCTATTGCTATGCACGCCGCTTCATCATAATTTGGCACTAAGAAAAACCGCGTTGCAAAGAAAATAATAAAATAATTTATTTTTT